CTAGACCTCAACCAAAAGTGAGGTCAACAGACTTAAATGTGTGTGCTGGTGGTTGGTGGTTGTTTGATGCTTGAGAGTGCTTTCTTCATATTATTTCTTTGATAAATAGAATGTTTGATGAAGAATCTGGGAGAACAATTGGTTTTGAATGTTCTCAGACTTTAAGTTTGTTGATTAATGAAAGCAATAATTCTAATGTTGAATTTGTAAAATTTATTGGCAAATGTAGTTATAAAAGCATGATGTGTGTGTCTCTCTCTTTAATGTGTTCCTAAAGAGCAACATTTCACTGCAATATTTTAGACTAGATGCACTCCAAAAATTCTTATGTGTGTGTGTCTCTCTCTATTGTTGCCTTCAGTTGGGTGTTGGTGATGCAAGCTGACTTGCCATCTTGGTGATGCATTATCCAATGTTAGCCCATAAACATAGCTATTATGATATTTTCTGCCCATCATAATCAGTTAATAAAGACTATCCTCTAGTAACTTTTTCCAATGGGCAGACAGTTCGACTGATTCCACTGCCGATAGTGATCGGGGTTGGATGGTACCCCTAGAAGACGACGTTGCTTGTGACATACATTGTCTTGATTTTTAAATTAATATTATCAATTTTTTTCTTTTTTTAGTACACTTGATACTCATTGTTATGTGAGGTGTGTATATTATTTTTCTATTATTCTGAAGTGAATTTTTGCTTCTCGAGTATTAAATGTATCACTATGACAACCATGTTGCAAACAACACTACTACACAGGGGTAGAATGGTCATTTATCAAAAAATTATTGCAAATCAATTATTTTTCAAATGCACAAACCAAACAGTCAGTCAGCTTATCCGGATCAGCTGTTGATCAATAACTTATCTAGATCAGCTACTCATCAACAAATTATTGATATGTTGCAGCTGCCTCAGACAGAGCCTAAGTTATACTTATAATTGCAAATTAATATTTTCTTTCAGGAAAATGAAAGTTTTAGGTTGATATATCTGATAGGAGAGACATGATTTACTAAAAGAGGACAAACATTGGTACCTAGTTTTATGATGAGAATTTCTCTTTAATTTTTCTATCATATATTGTTATATTGTTTATTATTAGCTTGATTTGTTGTCTTTGAGTGTTATTGTTTTTGGATGTTATAGATTTTATTCATTTTTTGGATTGGTGACTCTTGTATATGTATTGGAAGTTTTCAAAATATCAATAGTTTTAATACCGTCTGATTGCAGTTTCCATCTTAGTTAATTCTAAGCACTGGGTTGGATTGTAACATTTAGGTTAGTTCACATATAACCTCCTATTTATATATGTTCAGGTGAGGGTCTCACCTCCATCTAGAAATGTATACCCTTTTCTTACCTCTTAGACTAGAATGTTCCCTAATTTACTTAACTCAATCCTATCCTTAACCAACCTTATCAATTTCAATTCAATACTAACCAAATCTAACACAATCCTTTTAAATTCAAACTCAACCCTAATCTGATTCAAACCCAAATTCAAATCCAATCCAATAAATATCCAATTTAAATTCAATTTATTTATCAAGCCTGATTTAAAATCTATACCATTCCTACTGTCAAATGTTGGGCTAAAAAATTTTTGGAACTCAAGTGAAGTTAACCTATGTTCAAACTAACTTTTTTATCAAAGTCTTCAAACCCTGTTATCTTATAGACATTCATTAATGAATAAGAGTGTTAAGTTCTCTTAGAAGTAATTCTTGAGATGTAATTAACTATGATGGAGTCCTCTCATAGGGATACCATACCCAAAATTAAAATAAACCTTATCTTACACCCGTAAGGTAAGGGAAGGTTTCGTAGATCCATAAATCACAAAGATTTTCCTCTTCTAAATGATTAGATCCATTCTAAGGTAATATTTCTATATTTTGAGATAATATATTATTCTTCGAATATCGTATCCACTCATTTCGATATAAATCTTTCGAGGTCTATGGTGGTTATCCAACCAAACAAATAAAAAGTATCCCGCCAATAAGAAATATAAATATAACTTGAATCAGCTCCATTAACAAAAAAAAAATGCATGTGTGTATGTCCACAAAATTTAACAATATGAAACAATATAATTAATCGAAGAATTATTAGATCATAAGTATTAAGTAAAACATCTTTAAATTTCACTCTAATAATATCCATACAAAATAAATAAGAAAAGGATAGTTCCTTAATTGCATACTTATGACTCATTCAATAGCATGAGACATTATCCTCGCCATAAAAAGAAAGAAAACAACGAAGAACTTCGTATGCAAAGCAATTTAGGCACTAAGAAAATAATCAATTCACCTATAACTCAACTTTTTTAGCTCTCGCATCTAGGGCTGTCAAAAAAGCTCGTTGTTCGCGAACATCTCGTGTTCGGCTCGTTCGTTAAGTAAACGAGTCGAACACGAACAAAATTTTAAAGCTCGAATTATAAACGAGTCGAACACGAACAACTCTTTGTTCGCTCGTGTTCGACTCATTTTATCTCAAAAAAATTATATAACTATTTATATGATAATATATTACATATATTATTTATATAATAATATATTATATATATTTATATCTGAGTTTAAATCATAACACCTCATGTGG